TCACCGGAGTCATGTTGAATGCCATCACGAGTTGGCCTAAGAGCGCGTTTGTCTGATTGAACGCCACCGTGAACGTCTGAACGTTTGGGTCGGGCGAGAGGGACTTGTAGCTATCCACCAAAAATGCCGCGACTGTGGCGGCGAAAAGGCCGGCCTGTCACCGAAATCAGCGACTGCCAGATAGTGTCATGATCAGTACATACGAATGTAAGGAGGGTAGTCATGGTGGCCTTGTTGTAGTGAGCGAGCCTCTCTTGTTTCTTGTCTATTCCTCGCAGAGACAGGATCCAGAAGGCGGTGCCCTCTCCTTTCCACGCGGAACCCGGGTATTCATCGCTATCATCCGGCGCTGAGGTATCCGTCATATGAGAGTCGGAATTGAGAGGGTAGTTCATAGTTCAAGTCGAGTATTCCGTGTCAAAAGTGAACCTCTCATGGGGTGAACGTAGTGACTAGCAGGGATCAGCCCTGGTGGGCAGGCAAACCAGTGGTATGAATCTGCGGATCAACGGTGCTCCCGGTCCCGGCACGGTGCACGCGTCTTTCCTCTTGTTCTCATCCGCTGAGGCTCAGACATCATATTTGCGCCAAGGTAAGTCGTTGTACCCGAGCATTAGCATAATTAGATGTGTCGTGTTATGAACGCATACCCAGGTTAGCCTGTTAGGGCGGGATGCGCCGAATGCGCGTTTGCGCCCGTAGACATACGTTGCTCCGATTGGCAGCAGTCGCTGTTGTCGTTGCGTTCATATTCATAATAAGGCCAAACGTGGAGGAGAGAACGTCTGCCGACTCGCTTCTGGCGCACCGCATCGTCAATGTGGTATGGCATGACGACTGCTCAGGCCTGCTTGTTAGGCAGACCACACGTGCGTACCTTGTATCCATCACTCCTTGAACGCCACGCTGAAGCATTTTCCCCCATGCCTCTATGCTTCCGGACTCGTACTTCTCACTGTCCACGTTAGGAGGTTGGCACGCAGTCTCCCCTCATATGGTTTTGATCATACTCGCTTCTTTTGTGAGCTATGCTATTGAGCTATATGACCGTCCATGCCATGACCTATACTCCCCCGTTCGCCGAATGAAGGAAAACGTTTTACCTTAGGTCAAACTTGCTTTGGTCTCCATAGTCGGTGTCCTGATCTTGCGCGTACATCCCTTGAAACCTAGGTCCGTGTATTGATCTCTTAGAAGCCATCCTTTGCTCATACTCACAAGCGCTATAGAACTCATTCACCAACCCAACCCAGAGAAGACCACCTCGATGCTCTTTTTCATCACTTTCTCCATCCTAGACAAGAAACCGTTCTTGTCCTATCGCTTGTCCTATGTCGGTTTCGATCTGTCTCCAGATCTTGCACTCTGTTTGTCGCACCCTCCCTTATCCTGATTGGCCTCTCACTCGCCCACCCTCTCAGACGCTCCTAGTCGTGATACTCCCCAGCGACGGCATCATCATCACGGTTTTTCGGTCGTACTACTCCAAAGTATCCGCCAAGGACAATATGAAAGAAGCAAAGCGAAGCGAGATGATCGGACGTTCAAAAAAGGCGGAAGCAAAGGTTAGCGACGGAGATACTGGCCCCGATGCCTGAGAGGGATAGTGAACTCGTCGCCGAGGAGGAGATCGTCGAGGGTCACGTCTCCTTCACAGTTTGTGAGTACGTCTACACACAATGAAGTTACCAATCCTGACCTGGCTGTAGTGTGCGTCTTTTTTGCGCTCGAGGAAAATATGAAACCCTCCTTTAGATTGCCTTTCCCAGTGATGGCGTCCTCAGAGTCATCGGAGAGATGCGTACAACAACGCTGACTCTAGCGCCTATGTCAACGCGGTGACATGAACCCGATCAACATTGGCTCTCTTGCGGAAACCTACTGTGATGGCCCATTCGGCGTCTTCTGCGCGCCTGAGCTGGGATCACCCACCTGGGTCTCCTCTGGCATCTGGCGATGCATCGTCAGTTGCATTCGTGCCGCTAGGAGGCTTTCCGCTCAGCACACGGTGCGACGCTTGATCCGTCGGCCAGTCAATGCCCCGGAGGCCTTCCTCGCGTACCATCTCTCCAGCGCGAGACTGAGAAGTAATACGCTTCTTACTTATCAGCTCACAGTAGAAGATATAATAATATGACCGTTTGTCGCATTGTCTACATGATACTGGGGCATCAACTATCTGCACACGGGCGCCGCGCGCCGGCCTGGGAAGATCAAACGTGGTTGCTAGCAAGGTCGGATACATCATGTAAGTACACGGGATGGTACCGACTGGGTGAGTTCAATCCCGGTATAGATAGACGACTACGGGCCAGATCACATTCACACAAAAGCGAACATATCATGTTCAGATCGAACATATCTGCGTTCGTAGGGAATAGGCAAGGCGCGCGTCAACCATCACGATGCGCGCATCCTGTCGTACCTGCACAGCGCTCCCAGCAGATAACTGCGCTATCGGACAAGAAGAGTCTTCTGGAGTCTCAGGCAATGATCATCATGTCCTTTCCCTACAGCACCGGATAGTGTTATCACCGACGTACTATATAGTCTCCGCGTTTCGTCCAGCCTCTATCCCTACTGCCCGCCATGCTGCCCCATAGCGGCAGCGACCCCAGCTTCATCCCTTTAGCTGTGACGACTCTCGAATCCCTTCAGACGCGTCTGGGCAAGTCATGGGAACCCGTCCTCAGTCTTTTGCGCGAGATGCAGGGTGCAGACCTACCGGCCGAGCCCCAAATTGACCTGCTCCCGCCGATCAACCGTTATTTACCCCGCGCCGACCATCATTCAGTCATCCGCGATATTCTCTGGACTCTTTCTTCGGAAGTGGCTGCTGATACTGACGTTTGTTGCCATTTGCATCTGCTCCTTGTTTCAGTAACTGACTTTACTGTCAAGACTACTCCCATCGCACTGCGCACGATGTCTCTCGCATATCAGCTATACGCCGGGCGCACCATGGCCGCGTTTCGTGTCCATCACGCTCTTTCACTCCCACTGGAGCAGCCAAGCGATTTCGCCCTCTACATGCGACCAATGAACCGCGTAGCTAACATCCTTTTCTCGTGGCGTGGCACCAAGCGCTTTCATTCTATGTTCCCATCCATCGCTCAATTTATAACGCGACAACTCATGTCCGTCACACTGCATCGCCTGCACGTATGCAATGTTTAATGTATGGCAAACTACTCACGGTTTTGCAGGCATAGTGGTCTCAGCGAACGGGAGTTCTATCGCGCCTTCCGCCGTCGCCAGTTCATTGCATGGCTCGGGCTTCTATACGAGATTCTTAACCCAAAGGTCTCGCTCAACATGAACATCAAGCCCATTGTACTCCTGACGGTCGCGGAGCGCATGATTCCCCCTATGGAGGGTCGTCGCGTCCAGGTCGAATGGCTTTCGGCTCTGGTAGAACGGGGAGCAGTGTCCACAACTTCGGTCGACAAGTTGTCCACGGAACAACTCTTCGCGCTGCGCAGAGCGCACGTCATATGGCACGCGGTCAAGAGGCGCTGTATGGAGTGCCGTACAAAAATCGCTGACGAGGTGAGCCCTCAACGATGCGGTCATTGTCAGCGGGCCATCTACTGCACCAAAGGCTGTCAAGCCCAGTGAGTTGCCCATGCACCCGCATCCAACTACGTTAAAGATACCTATAGACACTGGGCTACTTCCCATCGCGACATTTGCAAGATCTGGTCAATTGTCAACATGCGCTCGAACAAGCCGGAGATCCGCCAGGGCATGAAAGCGCTTCCTATTGACGTTACGTCTATGTTCGAAGAATGACTATAGCGTTAATACAATCAACGCGATCCTTGAGATACCTCTATCACGGCGAGAGCACCGTTGGCCTTTCTCCACATAAGGCCTCCGCTACCCTAAAGAGAGTCCATCACGTCGGCCGCCGCCGCGAGATACGAGAATGATTGACATTGCAATCGAGGAGGAATCTGGCTATCGTATCTAGGAGCAACGGTGTGACATTTCA